TGTCATTGTGGGGTCTGGAATCCTAATTCATCATTCTCCTACTTTTATGCTCTCATACTATCAAAGCCATTGACAAAAAGCAACATGAAATAAATAAATACAATTGTGATTCAGTCCAGTTACAGTAACTTCCTATTTTTCCGAACCATTGCAAATTACTAGCCTCAATTTGTTTTCAGTACCAGGGTAAGTGGACGGACGTTCACAAAAAAAAGTGTTTTTTTTTTCTTAACTGGTCTGTTTTGTGATTAGGCCGAACCTTAGGAGTAGAATTTTTTCTTTCTATTATTATTTTTTTGGCAATTAGATTGTTGGAAGATCATGTCTCCCAGACAATGGTATGTCCTTTGGTGATCTTTTTGTCTTTTCCATCAGCAATATTTGAGCTGTCAACGTTCAGCAAATTGAATATGGACCAAAAGAGGCAACTCGTCCATGAGATGTCCAAATGGCCAGATGGCGCCATCGAAATTCTACACTCGTGGACCCGTGTTGAGTTGCTTCAGATCCTCTGCACAGAGATAGGTAAGGAAAGGAAATACAGTGGGCTATCAAAGTCAAAAATCATCGAGCAACTCCTGAGAACTATACACGAGAAGGAATCCAAGGAACTTGGCCCAACAAAATATCCCGAAACTCAGCAGGCCTTGTTAGAAAACAGTGAAAGAACTCTCAAGAGGCAGAAAAAGTCCGACCATCTAAATCGAGTGCCTGCAGTCTCGAGTCTGACCATGACAGTTGATCTTGAAGTTGAGTCCAGTAGTACTGTGTACTGCAAGAACTCGGCCTGTAAGGCTAAATTGAGCAGTGCGGACGAGTTTTGCAAAAGGTGCTCATGCTGTATTTGCCGCCAGTATGATGACAACAAGGACCCGAGCCTTTGGCTGATTTGCAACACGGACCCGCCATTTCATGGGATGTCGTGTGGCATGTCGTGCCACGTGGAATGCGCGTTAAGGCATGAGAATTCAGGTATTTCTCAGGATAAGGGACTTGACGGAAGCTTCTGTTGTGTGTCTTGTGGGAAGATTAATGATTTGCTAAGGTAAAAATTACTTGGTCTTTTGCTGTTTTCGCTGGTTTTATGGTATATTTTGTGACATGTGCTGCAGCATTATGTGATTTAGCTTGCTTTTAGATTTTTATGTGTTGCCTCCATATTCGCTATTTCGCTTCTTATTTATCAGTAGTTTATATGAACTTTCTTTTTTTTCAATAAAAACAAACGTATGAAGCACCTTGTTCTTGAATCTCATTTTTGTTTGCATAGTTTGTTAAGAATGATTGATCTTAGGCAGTGAGTATTAATTTGTGTCTTAAGAACATGCTTTGATTCCTGAAGAGTTTCTGTGTTAGATGGCTTCCAAAATTTACGGTCTTACTTTTGATTCCTGATGCATTTTATTGATTGATTTATTTATCATATGAAATACAAGTTCATAGAAATTCCTTACATCGATCTCTGGTCTACTCTTATCTGGTTGCTAGCATATGCTTCTTTGAAGACTAGTAAAGTGCACGTGCGATGCACGTGGTGGTGAATGTTTTGCCAATTAAGTTCAGTAAAATAAATTAATTAATTTATTAAAAATATCATTGCAAGAATGAAATAAAACGTAGAACAAATGAGCTCATAATGTAATTGATTTTTGCTAATTAAGTTTTGTAAAATAAATAAATTAATTTATTAAATATATCATTGCAATAATGAAACAAAATGTAGAACAAATTGTTTTTTCCAAAATAACTTAACGATGTCCTAATATAAAAAGAACAAATTGTTTTTCTCCAAAATAACTTAACGATGTCCTAATAGAAAAAGAATTAAATAACACATTACAACCCCAACAAAAATACTAAAACTCTAAATAATGACTAATATATATTATATATGCATTAGTTCTTTTATTTGTTTAAGTTAGATGATTCAATAGCGATCTCTTTCATTTTGGTTTTGACGTCCTCATAAGAAGCATTGTTGATTCAATTGTATTGCAAAATTCATCTTAATTTATTTGGCAAAACATCTATTTTATTCAAACACTTAAAAAAAATTCCAGTCAAACATATAGTGAAACTTCATGGTTGTATCATCTTTATATTTCTACTAGAAATGCATGAATATATCTGCAACATAACCAATCATGTCATTAAAATTGTTGATTATTTTGTATCATTATATAAATAATTATATTACTCTCTCTCTATATATAGACAAAATGATATCTACTCATGGATGTATCGCCCTAGGGAAGGGAATGAATTTCATCTCTAAATAAAAAGTTAACTTTTCAAAATCTCTATTACATGTAATTTTCCCGAAATTAGTTTTTGAAATCATCACATATTACCTGAAATTACATACTCTAAAATAATTGCACATATGTTCAAGCACAATACACCAATCAAATTATAAATATTCCTATAAGAAGTGTAAAATAATTGCACATATGTTCAAGCACAATACACCAATCAAATTATAAATATTCCTATAAGAAGTGTCAGTTTCATTCAAACATTCAAAAATGTTTTGATCAGGCTCCAACGTTTCATTTTCAATGTCATTTATTTGAAAGATAGACGGACTATATAACCTATTATTTGTAAATCATTGACCATCTAGTTCTTATAATGATTTTAGAATTATTTATTTTAATATCTTTCACATTTGTTTGGATTTGTGACATTTATGTGTCCAATAACTTTTTTAGTGCTTTTATCATCCAACTTTATGCATCATACTTAATGCTCAGGAAACTCAAGATAAAGATCATTTTTTTATTCTTCACCAATGACAAAACAAATCAAAACAAAACAAGGAAAGAACATTGAGAAGCATATCATTTGTTAAAAGATGAAAAGAATTGGAATTCTATTTTATGACTCTTAGTCATCTTTGAACTTTATTATTACGAAATCATTATTAAAATCTACAGTATGTATTATAAAGTTTTAAAATTTTAATTATTTAAAATTAAAAATTGATAATATAGGATCATTTATTTATGAGATCCAATTTCTTACAGAGTTCATATATTTAAACACTAGCAACAAAAAAAAAAAAATTATCTTTAAAAGACTTTTGGTTTCTAAATTGGTATTCATACTTGTCTAAGAAAATTCAGACGCTTTCTTTTTTCAATTGCATTACCATTATTTTATTAGCTTTTTATTCTGTTGAGAAGTAATACTTTATTTATTAAAAGAATTATAGCACATTTATATGTATTGCATCATTTTTTGTACGTGTTTCATATAATGACGTTGTTATCAAAATATCATATTTATTAGGCAACAACTAATATAATCACATAAGATAAAATAAAATTTAATATTACTTGTTTATTTATTTATTTATAATAATAATATATTTTATAAAAAATGTACTTTATATTGATTATAAGATTAAAAGATTTAGAATTTTTTCTCAATGTTTGAGAAACTATTAAGAAACTAACTTATTTTCATACTCATTGAACTTATGTGTTAGTTGACTAATAATTTAACATACAACTCGTTTATTTCTCCTTTTAATTCACATGGGTAATATTTGTGATAGTTGTATGTTTACATCCATTGTTTGTTTTTTCTTAATATGAATTTTCGGATCTATGTAATAAAAATATGCCACAAATTTATATTATGTTATTTAATACTTAATGAATTTATTTAACATGGATGTATAATTTATTTTATAAGATACTTTTAGGTCTATTCATTATTTTAAATTCGTGTTGATAATTGATATACATCATTGGAAAAAAATGATGTGATATATTACATATAAAAGGGTAACAAATAAAAAAATAATAAGTATTTTCAAATTGAAAAATTAATGGTAGAAAGTAATTAATTTTTAATTAAAAGAATTTAAAACTAACATAGTGAATTTTAATGCAAAAATAAATATTTTTTATGAACTTAAAAGTTCAAGTTAAAATAAATGTGCATATTAAGTATGTTTGATGTTTCTCATTACCTAGCTCTAATTGATATAGTACATTAATTGATTTTATCACTTTTTTTTTTACTTTCAGATTTAATGCGAGCTATAAGTTTTCTTATCATTCTTACCCCTTGTTTAGTTATATAATACTAATAAAATAATTAAGGACTTTTTGACCTAGATGTATCTTGTTCGTTTTGAAATAGTTTATTAATTACCATAAATTAAATGATAATTAGATTGAATGTGTTATATTTTCTATCATTATCAACAATTTTCATAATAATTAGTTGTACACAATATTATATAGAATGCAAATTTTTCTTATTGATTTGCAGCCCTACCTTTACTACAAGAAATTAAATGAGAAAATTCCAATGAAAATTTCAAAGAAAATATACTACAACGGAATTCATCGAAAATTCTAACGAATATTTCAAAGTTATTATTCCCGTTTGAATTTTCTAATATAATTCTAGAAGAAAATATTTTATTGGAATCATGAGAAGATCTATGTTTATTTAAAGGTCCAGCACATCCCTCCATCCCAAAGCATATAGCGTAAGGAATCTAATAAAAATTGTGGGAACATTTTTTCATGATTTTTATCATGTCCCCTATTTTAAAAATGAAATTAAAAGAAAGAAATAAAGATACATAATGAATTAATTTACAACTCAACCTATTATAATTTAATTCAACTCATAACTTTATTAATGTTATAACATAAACGCGGCATCACAACTAAAGAAAATATAATAAATCTCAAAATTACGTCACAGCACTTGAGACCAGTTTATTCATTTATATACTGAGATTATCTACACCTGTTATTATCATGAATAATTGCATTACTACGATATAATACCGTAATGATTCGCTAGTTCACGCAAAGTTTTCAAAATTTTTACCTTATATAAGATATAGACTTTTCTATTCCTATTTTAAAAGGCCTTTTTTAATTCAATTAAATGTAAATGAACCATATTGATGATAGTTTCAAATCTCTCTTTTAGAACATAATTTTTTTCCATATCTTCAAAATATATTTTTTATATCTTTTTAACTAATGCAAGGGGAAATATAGTTATATATTCATAATTTATAAATTCATCAATTATAATGTCGAGTCAGCTATACAACAACATAGATTTTTTGTTTATAATTTTTTTTAAAAAACATTTCAATGATTTTATTATGTCGAATTGAGAAAAATCGTCATTTTTTTATTAAATATTTTTTAACTTATTGCGACTGTACTGATGTGTTAGAATGTATTACAAGTGAGAAACATGAAAAATTATGTAAAGTATAATTTATAAATTGTAATGGCACTATGTTATTTTGATGGTATACTTTTTTTTCTAACCTACATGGATAAAGGTAAAAAGAACTATTGTATATCACCTAAAACTTACACATAGAATTAATAAGTACAAAAATTAACAAACATTTAACAACCCTGCTCGTTTACATCGATAAATAGAAGTTTTAAAAGGTTTATATTTACTTTTATTAATCATGACATATTTATTTATTATTTTTTAATATTTATTAGTACGTGTTACAACTTAGTAATTTTTAATATCATTTTTCAGATTTAATATATATATATATATATATATATTTTTCATATGTTTTTAACTTTTGTATTTGCTTAAAAATTCATAATATTAGGTAAAGAACTTTTTCGGTCATATGTGTTAATATATCAATTATTTGTATATCTTAATATTATATTATATAAAATTATAGTTTTATCTTTAATATTATAATAAATTATTCATAATTTATAAATTCAACAACACTATTGTCGAGTCAACCATACTACAACATAGATTTTTTGTTTATAAGATTTTTAAAGAATATATTGTTTCGGTCATATGTGTTAATATATCATCTATTTGTATATCTTAATATTATATTATATACAACTATAATTTTCTCATTAATATTATAATCCATTAGTCATAATTTATAAATTAATCAACAATATTGTCGAGTCATCTATACTACAACATAGATTTTTTGTTCATCAGATTTTAAGAGATATATTATTTTCAATGATTTGCTTATTTTTAATTGAGAAAAATTAGGTTTTTTTATAAATACTTTTAACTTATTGTAACTGTATAGATTTGCTAAACATGTATTACAGATGATAAAAATGACAAAATTATGAAAAGTATAATGTATATATTGTAATGATATTATGTTATTTTAATGGTATGTTTTTTCTATTGGCTAAATAGAGCCCCCAATATTATGAAATTGTCTGTATCTACCATTACAATTAGCTTTTCAATGCAACTTTCATTGAATTTTTTACAATTCCAATGAAAAATTTTCTAACGGTAGAAATATGTACCCCAAAAAAAAATCAAATGAATCACACAACAATAAATAATGGTAATTTGAATCATTAAATACACTAAAATTTCATTACAATTTAATTTGATTTATGTTGGAATAGCCAGTGATATTTTCCAATGAAAGCTATGCAAATGAAATATCCTTAGAAATTTTTAGTGGAACACCTTATCATTGGAATTTTCATTGCAATATAGCATTGTATTTTTTGCATTTTCTTTTAAACATTAAAATTGTTATGTTGTAGTTTTTTATAATTAATTGCATTTACAATTTTTTTTATTAAAAATATATAAAACACATGAACTTTTTAGTCCATATAACTTTTTAGAAATCACTCGTTATTTTAATTCAAGATTACCTATTAATTGCTCAATTAAATTACTATCTTTTACGTATTAAATATTAAATAATGAAAATAATAATTATTTTTTATTTTAATATAATATTTATATATTATATTAAAAAAACTAAAATTAAATAATTAAATAATAATTAAATATTACTCGCCTTGATATTAATCATCTAATGGTCAAGTGAAAATTCGTTAATTTTATTCACTTTGTTACTAAAATTGAAAACAAGCAAAAAAACAAACAAATGACGATTTTTATGGGATCAAAATTCAATACTGTAAGACTAAAGTGAAATTTCTATTCTAATTCTAAATATAAGAGTTTACTTTTCTTAAATAATGAAGTAGCTAAATGAATGGTTCAACTTTTCTTGTTTGTCAGAGAATGTATAAAATTATATTAAAAACAAGGATTTTGTTTTAAAACAACAATTCTATATCTTTTCAAAATTTTGTTGTTTAGGTTAATGGTGGGTCAATTTTTGGGAGATATGTATGTGGAAGAAAGCCACTTCGTGAGAAATAATGGTGTGAGAATGAATATTTTGTTTGATTTTTAGGAGATGTGAAATGTATTGGTCATGTATTTGAATTTAATTGATTAAGCATTAGTTATTAATTAAAAATATAAGATATGATGGGTATTAGTGTATTACTAATTTTCCATTAAAAACATGTTAGAGTAAGGGTTTTTAGGTAATTTATTTTTTAATTAAAAATATAAAATAAGATATTTATTAGTGTATTACTAATTTGCCATTATAAATATGTCAAAATAAGGTTATTTTAGGTAGTTTATATTTTTACAAAAACACTCGTCTTTTTAGAGTAGTATATAGATATAGATATAGATAATAGCTGACAGAGATTCGATTTGTTGAATATGAAAAAATTGTGGCTAAATGAACTTTCCAGTTGGTACACTTCAGTACTGCCTACTGATCAATATTTGGATCAATCAGAATAAGAACTTTTGAGGTTTAGTCTGACTACAAAAGAAGCTCAACTATCTTTTAGAATTACTAACACCTGTACTGGTATGGAGTTTTGTTCTGCAATGTACACTCTTAAAAAGGGGGAATATGAAACTCAATGAGCTGCTGTAATATCTTAATGCCACACTTGCATGTTTCAAGGATAATAATTACATTTTCTTGCAAGTATAATTTTTTCTCTAGTGAAAAAGAAAATAATGGTAGCAATTGAATTATAAATACACAGCTCATGGAGAAAGCAATTAGTGGTGGCAAGGGACACCAGACGGGTTGACATACTGGGCTACAGGCTCTCATTGGGCCAAAAGATTCTGGCGGGCACTAAACATTACCAGAATCTGTATGAAATAATTGACGAATCAGTGAAAATGCTAGAGGAAGAAGTGGGTCCCTTAACTGGTTTACCCGTGAAAAAGGCGAGAGGGATTGTGAACAGGCTTTCGTCAGGGCCCGAAATTCAGAGGCTTTGTGCTTCTGCTGTGGAGTCCCTTGATCTGTTGCTATCTAACCGAGTATCTGATATGCCCTCTGGTACTCTCTCTCTCTCTCTCTCTCTCTCTCTCTCTCTCTCTCTCTCTTTCTGTGTTTGTGTGTGTGTAGCCATTGGTTGGTGCGTGTGATTGTCTCGCCCAATCCATAACAACCTCAGGCAGATAAAGAACAGGGGATAATTACAAGATAGCTTGCCATTGAAAATCTAGTTATTCCTTTAAATTTACAATATGTCAAGTATTAACATATGCTGGAAGGACAAAAGGTTACTAAGACGTTGAGAATTCTGTCATCTGATGTGTTTACTCGATTTCGTTTATGTTCCTAGGTTACAACACACTTGCCTCGAAACTCGTCCATTTCGAAGACATTCGCGCCACGTCACTTACAGTGAACCTCCACTCGTACAACTCACAAACCAAGAATCTCATGGGCTATTCCCTATGGCACCGTAAAGCTGACGAAGCAAACTACCTTACAGACCCCACTTGCCGGTTATTTGAACCGAACACAAAGTTTCTGCTGACTGGACTTATTCCCGCCACACAGTATTTCCTAAAGGTTGCTATTCTCAACACCGATCAGCAGATGGGCCTCTATGAATTTCAGTTCCAGACTGCTTGCTCTCAGGATTTGGCCCAAAATAAAAACTCGGAACCTGAACGAAGTCAAAGTCAAAGTCCGGCTACTAACTGTAGCACGCTCTCGAACCCTTCTTCAGTCGAGGACGAGACAAATAATATTATTATTGTCAATCCTGCCTGTACTTTTACTGACAGTAAAATTGCAACTCTCCTAAGTTTACCTAGTGAAACTCTGAAAACGACGAGCATTGACAATACTCCAGTCTCCACTGGCTTGGAATGCGTGCCTTATGTTGCTAGCTCTGAGGCTAACTTGCCTATAACTCCTTGCAAGTTTGAAATTTTGAAAGACGAAAATAGGCCCAAGTCCAAAGGCAAGGATGTGGGATCTGAAAGAGACGAGTCAAAAAAGAGAGACAGGAAAAATCGCAAAGGGTGTAATAGCTGCATCCGGGATAAGGATTTTGAGTATTACGTGAAAGTTGTTAGGTGGCTGGAGTGTGAGGGCTATATTGAGACGGGTTTTAGGAAGAAGTTCTTGACTTGGTATAGCTTGAGGGCTAACCCTCAGGAAGTACGTGTAGTGAAGGTTTTCATTGACACGTTTATTGAGGACCCTGTATCGCTTTCCGGGCAATTAATCGATACTTTTGCGGATGTTATTTCACATAACGGGTGCTCGAGGGTGCCAGCTGGGCTTTGCATGAAGCTTTGGCACTGACTGAGATGTTAGTTTAAGATGGTTTATAGGATGGTGTTTATAGGGTGGAGTAAATTTGACGAGGTTCTTTGGTGGTGTTTTAGTTATTTAAATTTGTTCATCATTCTTGATTGGGAAGTGTGAAGTAGATTTATTCAAATTTGGTACTTGGGGTTGGTTGATCTTGATCCTCCTTATTTTTATGAGAGAAGACCAAGTATTTTGTTTCTGCTCTTGGGATGGATGGTTCTGTAAGTATGGAATGGAAGTTGTTTTTGTCTGCTCAGTATATTATGTGTGTAGAATTGCATGGCAAGTGATGTTTGAGTGCGCATGCATTTGTTGATGATCCATGGGGCTGACCTGCTCTTTTGTTTTGGTATGAAGATATTATTTGTCTCAATAACTTTTGATGCACCCTGCAACTGCAAACCTAAAAAGGATGACTACAAAACTGAATAATAGGTGTGTACATATGTGTTCTAAGCCATTCAGAATTAACGTCTTAGTTCCAAATAACATAAAATTAGTAAGCACAAGAGAAGCACAAATATAAGAAGCATGCTGTTGTGAGGTAAGGTTAGGAGGGTTCATCTGTTAGAATTNAAAACGTATTAATTTTAAGTAAAACGTATTAAATTTATCCGTTTTACTAAAAAATAATTAATTAACATAATTAATGTAATTGAGTTAATTACATTAAATAAAAACGTATTATTTTAATACGTTTCATAATTAAAATTATTTTATTAATTATAAAACGGATTAGTTTTATACGTTTTTTAAAAAAATAATTTTAATAATAATTTTAGTTATAAAATGAATTATTTTTATACGTTTTTAAAAAAATTAATTTTAAAATTATTAAAAATAAATTTTCGGCGGAAAATAATTTTGGAAATATAAAACGGATTTTATGAATTCGTTTTTCCCCCAAAAATTGATTTTGCCCTAATTTTGACCTAATTTTGCCCTAATTCTTCATAAAACGGATTCTATGAATCCGTTTTTCTCTGCAGAAAAATGCAAAATATTTTTTTGGATCCATTTCACAACCTGTTCAACAAATCACAACATGTTCAAGCAACTAATATGAATCAATTCGCCCAAAATAATCCAACATACAGTATATACAAAAACTCAACGATAATAATTTATTCAAAACACAAATATGAGTATACAAAATGAAAAGAAAATTAACACATATGTTCACAAAATTCCCTGAATACAATACAAACTAAATCGGAGTGTATCGATTCGTAGGATTGCGTTGTCGTTGGCTGATCCGACGTTGTGGTCGTCGTGAAGAAGATGATGCTGTGGGCGTGACTGGTTCTTCTTCTTCTTGTTCTTCTTTACCTGAATAAATAATTTTTTTAAAAAACACAATAACAATAACTAAATAAATAAAATTATTTTTTTGTTAAGTTAAAAATTTTCACCTTCTTCCTCTTCCTGAGGCCCGGTATCGGCAGCGGGTTGGCGGTCGCGTCGTCTTCTACCTCCACCAATGTTGGCAGCAGGTTGATGCCTCGCCCGGTGTGACTGCGTCCTCTGGGATCGGACGTAGCTCTCCTCCGTTAGAACTTGGCTCGACGACGGCCCTTGTGCGACATCTCCGCCTCCGACAGTCATAGAACTGTAGAGAAGGCTCTTGGCCTGTAAGACTGCGGCCTGCACCTCTGGAGGGAGTGTATGAAAGAGGTGGTCAACATTCGTTAACGTGTGATAAGCTCCCTCCATGGCGGTAGTCTGAAAATTAAATTCAAAGTCAATTAGAATGAAACACAAACAAAAAAAATAAAATAATAATAATAGAATAAAAAACAGAAATATATATTACTTATGTCGCACTTCCCCTGCTCGGCAAGTGGGCGAAAGCCTCTGTCCGGTTGGGCCACCGCGTACTTGGCAGGGTCACCGAGTAGTCTCACAGTGATACTGTGAAATTAATCAAGGTAACCCGCCTCAGGGTTAATGAATGACTCCACAGGGAATGTTGGGATGACATTTTCGTCTCTATGTTCGACCCAAGCATTCCCAAGCTCTCTGTGAAAGGTCACCCAGTAAAAAACTGCCCTCCCGGTCATTCCCTGGCCTCGATAGTGTCTTTGATATTCGGTCTCAGTCGGAATGATAGGAGGTTCGGGGGTGGACTGCCGACACCCGAACTGACGGAGGACCCTATCAGGCATGTGGACTTCACGGACGTTCCAGTTGAAGATCCACCCCCTATACATCCAAAGGTGTGAACCTTCTGTACACTGGGCCGGGAGAGCATTCCCTTGCAGGTGCCACTGATAGGGTAGCCATTCGAACTGAAAAATAAAAAATAAAAAAAATTAATTAGGAATTAAGTTATAAAAAAATTAAAGTCAACAACAAATAAAAATAATAATAATAATCTTACATCCGTCTCTGTGAGCCCGGTCAGTTGATCCCGGGTGGCGGCTGTTCCCCTGGTCAGGTGTGTTGTGCTCCTCCTTCCCACCCACCTTCAAAATCACAGTAAAAATAAATTGTAATCACAAAATTTAATAGTGGAAATAATGTAAATATTAAATATAAATATATTTTATTACCTTCCACCTAGGGGACAATCAGAGACTCTCTCAAAGTTCGTATCTCTCATTCTTGGGCGAATACGAGGGATACGTTCATATGCACAAACCTACACATATCGACATATTCATTTGTTATTAGATATTAGTCTAAATTAGAAAAAAAAAATGAATTTTGAAATAACAAGCAAATAAATTTACCTGGATCAGTTGGACACAGTTCTTGATCCACTTTTCTCCGGACTTGGCGCTCGTGCAGAGCGCTCTATACACTCCGGCCAGGACCGCCGAACCCCAGCTGTACGTCTTGATCGTATCGATGTCGTGCAAAAGCTGCAACCAGTAGAGGTTCACTCCATTGCCCCTCTTGTCAGGGAAGAAGAAGCAACCGATGCACCAGAGTATAAGGGCCTTCGCCCTCGACTCGTAGGCGAAGCAATTCTCTCCATCGGCTAGTTGTCGGTTGCACTCCTCTTCTAACGCATAGGCCTTCAAATACTGGCCTGTAATGGCCCAAGTGCTGGGGTCTTGAACCGGTTCCTCGGCATTCTGAGAGTGGTTTATATATATTAAATTAGTGAATGGAGTAAAGATAAATAAATTAAAAAAAAAAAAATGTAAGAAAAAATTTACCTGAACATAGGGCTCGAACCCTAACTCATCGTTACAAATTTCTTGCCATTTAAGGGGCGTGTTATCTTGAGTCACTCCCCAACAAGGCTCTCCATCGATCGGGAGACCAAAAAGGACTTGTACGTCCTGCAACGTGATGGTGGCCTCCCTGAAGTCAAAGTGGAAGGTATGCGTCTCCGGCCGCCACCTTTCCACTAGACACGTGACGAGGCTGTTGTCGGTCATGACTCTGCCCATTCGAAACAGCGGGCCAAACCCCGTCCTCTCGATGGCATCTCAAACTCTGGGATGCTGGTGATCCAACGCCTTCCAGAATTGAGTGTCAAAACGGCAGGGTTTAATGACGCCGTCACTACATCCGCCTATATCTTCGAAAAAATCACTCGACCGGTGGCAGTATTGAAGATATAGAACGGACAGATCTCTCGGACCGAGATGACATTGAAGCGCTGCGGTTGTGAGGACGACGAAGATGCCATTGTCTGCCAAAAAAGAAAAACAATCATTATAATATACTACATACTACAAAAAAAATAATAATAATAATTAATCAAATTACAATAATACAATTATATTCACACAAAAAAAAATCACAAAAACACAAATAAATGAAACAAACAATAAATTCACAAATTTAAAAATCATATACACAATAATTTGAAAATAAACTTTAATTGACAATTCGACTCCAACAATTCAACTTCCGACAAAATAATCCCTAAACATATTATATAAATTCACAGCTAAATTCACCTCATCACAAATTCACAATATGTCAACAATATGTACAACAATCCCTTTGAGGCATTTTATCGAACACGTTCAAATCATATATTTCCAAACAAACTATAAAACCCTAATCAATTTCCAAATAACCAATCAATTTATCACCAAACATATATAATTAAACAATCCATCAACATATTTCAATCCATAACTCAATCCAATTAAAAACCCTAAATTTAGCCCTAATTCGAAATTATTGAAATAATTGAAAAAAATGAAAGAGTAATAGAAGAAACGTACCTAATAGACGGGAAGGAGGCGCGGTGGCAGTGCAGTAGACGGCGACGGCGCGGCGGGCGGCAACGGGCGGATTTTTTTTTTCTTCTTCCCGAACTCAAATCGCTATTTCTCTCTGTGTTGTGTTTGGTTTCTGGTTTCTGTTCGCGTAGGGAAGAAGAGGAATTTTTTTTGGCTCTATTTATTTGTAAAACGGATTCATTGAATCCGTTTTATACTTTTAATTATTAAAAAAACGGATTTTGTGAATCCGTTTTATAAATGCAAAAAAAATGTAGCGAAGATCCCAGATTCGGGACTCGAACCCGGGTTCGAGTGAGTCCGTTATCTCTGGGGGCACCTCGTTACCATTAGGCCGCGTTAGCCTATCGCTGATATTTTCGCACAATTTTTGTTCTTATCCTTCAACATCAAGATTTTTTATATACTATAGTATTGTTAATATAGTGTATATACATATATATTATAATTTGACATATAGTATATATTATATAGTATATATTATATAGTATATATATATATATATTATATACTATATAGTATATATTATATAGTATATATTATATAGTATATTGTATATATTATATTATATTAGTACAATTGAACTCGCATTAGTACAATTGAAGTCAATTATAGTAAAATCGAAATCAAATTAGTACAATTGAAGTCGAATTAGTACAATTGAACTCAATTATAGTGAAATCGAAATCAAATTAGTACAATTGAACTTGAATTAGTACAATTGAACTCGAATTAGTACAATTGAAGTCAATTATAGTGAAATCGAAATCAAATAAAAACTTT